ATCAGTGGTTGAGTGTAGGCCTCTGAACCAGGGAGTTATGGTTTGATTCCTAGTCAGGGCACATGCCTGGATTGTGGGCTCCATCACCAGTGTGGAGTGTGAAGGAGGCAGCCAATCAATGATTCTCTCTCATCACTGATGTTTCTCTCTCCCTCTCCCTCTTTGAAATCATTAAAAACATATTAAAAAAACGAAACACCCAGAGAATCTTATTAGCCTTACCTTGTCAATTTTATCATTAAAGGTTGTTGTTTTTAACTTCTTCCAACAGTTCATGTGAAATTCTATTTTGCAGTACTGGCAACAGCTGATTCGTATAAAACCCTGGGGGGTTAAAACAATGTTTAATTCACATTTTAAAGGTGCTGTCTCTCTCTCTCTCTCTCTCTCTCTCTCTCTCTCTTTCTCTCTCTCTCTCTAACTCACTCACAATGCATCTATACTAATAATAGCCTAGGTGGTATCACGCCCTTATGTCATCACAAGATGGCCGTGCACACAGCGGAGGCAGGGCCCGGTGGATGCTTTGCATGGTGAGGCCTGGGGATCCCATGGCTCTGCGCAGCTCAGAGGCTGGTCCCAGCGGAGGAGGCAGGTGGCGGCAGGGGAGGGCAGTTGGTTGGCAGGGGAGGGCGGTTGGGGGCTATCAGGCTAGCAGGGGAAGGCAGTTGGGGGTGATCAGGCCAGCAGGGGAGGGCAGTTGGGGGTGATCAGGCTAGCAGGGGAGGGCAGTTGGGGGCGATCAGGCTGGCAGAGGAGGGTACCTGGGGGCAATCAGGCCGGTAGGGGAGTGGTGAGGGGGCGATCAAGCAGGTAGACAGGTAGGCAGGCAGGCAAGAGGTTAGGAGCCAGTGGTCCCTGTGGGATTGGGCCGAAACCAGCAGTCGGACATCCCCTGAGGGGTCCCAACTGGAGAGGGTGCAGGCCGGGCTGAGGGACACCCCTCCCCATGCACGAATTTGTTGCACTGGGCCTCTAGTATTAAGATAAAGAGAAAGCTGTTTGCATTCCTCTGGTAGACACAACTAGATACATTTCCCCATGGGGAGCATACTACTCTGTACCTAGAATGCCTAGTGCCAGGGATACAGAGCTTGACTGACATATTCACTTTCATAGCTTACAGTTGCATTATTCTTTACAATGTATAAAATATTTTATAAACAATATTCCATCTCAGCTCTAACCAGGGACAGTGCCACAATGGGCAGCTTATTATCTTCTTGAATCAACTAAGGCCCAGTAACTTATTCACTCAATTATGTGCCAGACTTGATCTCAAATTTAGGTTTCTCAGAGCCAATTCAGCGGTCAACAATGGCCTTTTGTTCTTGGAGTCCAGTTTTACAAGAGACAGAATTGCAACAAATCAGAGGTAATAATCTTGTTTTGTTTCCTGTGTTCCTCGGAATAGGCAGTTGATGGCACAGTGGCTAGAAAGGGGAAATGGAATTAGCCAGCTGGCCCTCAGTGTTAATTTCAGTGGCTCTGGGTTCCCATGTGAGATGATGCAGACCTAAAGAAGTCCAGGGCGAGGGGTAGGCAAGGAGACATAAAACTGCTGGCACCCCAGAGAACTTGGGTGCCTCCAATTAAAGGATTGGTTCTAAATTCACTGTAAGGCACAACTGTGCAAGTTAATGTCCCAATGCACAGTCATTACTTGCCTTAAAGTCTGGATCTGTGATGTATATCTGGATTTTGGAATATCCACGGCACTTCTGATAGCAACAAACAGCATCTGGCACTGGAGGGAACCTGCATTCTTCAATAAATTTCTCTAAGAGCATCTAAAACAAAAAAGATACTGTTACAACACTCGTTTGTCAATCAAAATGCTTGTGATTTCAATAACTTCTTGCTGTCAAAATATTTTCATCCTAGAAATGACTAAATGTGTAGCCAAGAACAAACTACATACCACTTTTTAATGGAGGCTGATACAGAGACGTGTCCAGAGAAAATGATGGAATGGTGGGGGAGGGGCAAGAACTAAAAAGTTTTTTCAGAATTTCAAAGTCAGAATCAAAATCTTATCCTGTTATAACCATCAAACCTCACTGTATAATATGTAACTCATAGAATCTCCTTTAAGCATCCAGAGGGAGTCCTAAGGTGAAACTCCCTCAGGACTCTACTATGCTCCTGACCCTAAGGGTGCTTCACCTGGGATCCTAGCACCTCACTTGCCTGCTCCTGGAGCCCCTGCCACCTGCGCTAGTTCTTGCCCTGAGAATGACCCCACTGCTCCTGCACCTTTGTTATCAATACTTCCCATGCTTCCATCCCAATCTAGTTTAAAGAGGAAAACCCAATGATCCTTTGTTTTACAATTTTTTTAATAGCAGCTTCGGGTAAGATATCATTCCCATACCATACAATTCACATATTTAAAGTGTGTTTTTAGTACATTCACACGGTTGTATGGCTATCACCACAGTCTAAATTTACAACGTTTTCATCACCCAACAAGAAACCCCATAACCATTAGCAACCCCTCCCCATTTCCCCCAATTCCTAGCTCCTCCCAACCACTAACCTACTTCCTGTCTCCATGTAGATTTGCCTGTTCTGAAGATTCTATATAATAAAACCCTAATATGCAAATTGACCAAACAGTGGAATGACCGGTCACTATGATGTGCACTGACCACCAGGGAATGACCGGTCACTATGATGTGCACTGACCACTCAATGCAGGAGCTGCCCTCTGGTGGTCAATGCACTACCACAGGAGGAGCGCTGCTCAGCCAGAAGCTGGGCTCACTGCTGGCGAGGGCAGCAGCGGTTGTGGGAGCCTCTCCCGACTCTGTGGCAGTGCTAAGGACCCCTGCTCCCCCAGAGCAGGCCTAAGCTGGCAGTCGGAAATACCCTGAGGGGTCCCGGACTGCGAGAGGGTGCTGGCTGGGCTGAGGGATCCCCGCAGTGCACGAATGTTGTGCACTGGGCCTCTAGTTTCATATTAATGGAATCCTACAATCAAATGGAATCCTACAATCTGTGGCCTTTGTGTCTGGCTTCTTTCACTTAGCATGTTTTCAAGATTCGTTCATGTTGTAGCATGTGAGTACTTCATTCTATGGGCTGATTAATATTCAATCGTATAAATAGACTATATTTTATATAACCATTCATCAGTTGATGGACACTTTTTGCCTCCTGTGAATAATGTTGCTATGAACATTCATGTACAAGTTTTTGTGAGAACATGTGTTATCTCTGTATATATCCAGGAACGGAATTGCTGGGTCACAGAATAACTCATTCTTTAACACACTGAGGAAGTGCCAGACTATTTTCTCAAAGCAATGGCCCCGTTCTAAACGCCCACAACAACACAGGAAGTTCTGACTTCACATCCTTATCAACACTTACTCTTGGTTGCCTTCTGAAGATAACCATCTCAATGGGTGTCGTATCTCCCTATGGTTTTAATGTGCATTCCTCTGGTAGGTAATGTTGTTGAACACCATTCATGTGCTTACTGGCTATTTGTATAACTTCTTGACAGATATGTCTATTCACATCCTTGGGGTACTTTTAAATTAGTTTAGTTGTCTTTTTAACATTGAGTTGTGAGAGTTGATCCCTATGCTTTTAAAAGCTTTGGTCAAAAGCCAGTTCTTAGTACATGCCCAGGTTCCCCACAACTAAAGGCCTATCCTAGTCAATTTACACATAATTTAGTCTCTCAAAAACTAGCAAAGCATGCTCTGCTTCTGGATTTGAGATTAAGTTTATACTTTGAGTCTTCGAGTACCCCTCAGTAATGACAGTAACTATGATGAAACAGCAATGCTACACCTTTCCGAGGGAAAGCATACCTTTCTGCTTAAGAATGCATACTGAAGTCAGAACACCTGGATTCAAGCCAAGCTCCACCATTTCCTGGCTGTTTAACCTTGAGCTCATTACCTAACCTCTCTAAACTTAATCTTCTCCCTCCATAAAATGGGGATAAATCATAGTACTCATCTGTAGGACTGTTGTAAGGATTGAAGGTAATGAAATGTGGTAGGTGTGTGACTGGCAATAGAAAACATTCAGTAAATGTTAGTTAATTCTCACTAGTCCTTAAAGGGGAAACACCTGTGGGGGAGCTGAGGCCAGAATGCTATCTCCTTTCCTGACACCTGAGCCAGTCAGTGTAGGCGGGCTTTCACAGTTAGAGCTCTCTGCAAAAAGAAATGGTTACCTTTATTTTCCCTGGCCGAGTCTCTTCGATAACCACATTACTTGTGGGCCAAGTTAGCACTCCAGGGAGTCGACAAATCAGGGTTCTTGCTTTCTCAAAGTGATTAAGAGCTTCTAGAAACCTAGTCATAATAATGAAAAAAAAGGTATGAAAAGATGTCGCAAGAATTTTCATTCCCTCAACAAAAGTCAGAGATTTCAAGCTAACTAGTAAGAGTACATTTGAGCACAGCCAGCGTGACTCAGTGGTTGAGCGTTGACATATGAACCAAGAAGTCATAGTTCGATTTTTGGTCAGGGCACATACAAATTAATGCCCAGTGGGGGGCGTGCAGGAGGCCCCCCAATTGATGATTTTCTCTTATAATTGATGTTTCTCTCCCCCTCTCCCTTCCTTTCTGAAATAAAAAAAAATATAAAAAAAGAATACATTTGATAAATCACTGCATAGCTATAGTACCATAAATATAGAAATTCTTTTTTTTTTAATTTTTACTTTATTAGGACATTTACTAACCTGTTTTTTTTCAAGTACACTTTTCCAATTCCACAGTAGGCCAAGCAATCGAGGCCCTCATTGGGGTAGTGTTCAATCATCCTCTTAAACTGGTTTTCAGCTTCAGATAATTCCTTCAAAGGGAGTAAGAACAATAATCACACACAAAAGAAATGCTGGATGTGATTTTTACCTGAAGGCTGATTCTTTTTGTAACATTAAAAACAACTATCTGTCCAAAACTTCTTTGGCAAAATTACACCTTCCAGATTTCATTTTCTTAGCAATTTATAAATTGTGACCATATGTACGATACTCACACCCAAAGTGATTCAGCTCCAGAATGAAAAGCTGGCACTGAACACATCAAATCACCAACCAGATGAGCGTTTACACCCACACCGAGGCCAGTGGTGCTGGCAGACACCACACATGTGACTTCACGGTACAAAGACTGAGGTAGACAATGACACCGTGCACATATCCTGGCTGAGTGCTGTCCCCTTGGGGACACAGGCATGCCGATGTTGCTACATGCTTTGGGGCATCAGGCAGACAAATGCTCAACCTTAAAACCAGCCCATTAGTAAGAGCTTCACAGACAGAAGTGTGTTCTTTTGAATATTCTCAACTGTGGAAACCTCTGCTTCACATGAATTTTGTTTTGAAAAAAATCCAAGAACACTTAGCTCCAGGCAACACTGCTAACCCCATTGTGGGTGAAAAAAGAGATGTCACCACAAAATGGAGTTTGTTAGAAGCTTTGAGGCCAGTTCCAAAGGAGGCATTGCAAACATGTCTTAACACGTTAAGCGCCATGTCAGTCACCAGTGGCTGACACTACATTTTCCGATTGGACCTCATCAGTCTCCAACTGCCAGCGTTTCAGTGAAATTGGGTATCGTGGGCTACACGGAAAGGAAGACAAAACAGGCCTGGCGCTTAACGTGTTAAGCAAGGGCTGTACTGGAGTAAGTATATCGCTTCCTTCTGGCTGGGGCTAGTCTGAATGATGAAATTCTTTTAAAGGTTCAAGTTCTATCACATGGTTTTATTTCTGTGCTCAGTCTCACTACTTCAAAGTAAAACGCAAATGTAATAAACTATCTCTTCAATCCAAAAAAGCAAACATAACATACTTATTACTGCTCTGCCAAGAATAAAAGAATTGCGATGGGAAAACAACTGTGTTTACATATCTTCTAAAATCAATGACATACTTAAGTTGTTTATTATTTGTTACAAATCTTACCTCAGGCTGTCCTATTCCAAGGAGAGAAATAGCAAGTCCGTAGACCACTAACACATAGTTAATCATGGCCAGGTTCAATTGCTGTCGATAAAAACATTTGAGTTAAAAATCGGAAGATAATTCTGCCCAATCTGCATTATACCAACCTGTTAGCCACGACAGAAAAAAAGTGTAATAAAATCTCACTAATCACTATGATTGAGATAAAGGCCAAACTGAATTAGAAAATATATTTTGCAAAAATACACTGCTACCAAGTATTTAAAACACAGACTCACTGTCTCAGAGTTCCTTGAAGACGTGGTTCATACTAGATTAGAATAACAGAACTTACTCTCTTTTGAATGTTTGTGGGTACCAGTGACAGATGAAGACATTTATTTGCTGCCTTACAACCTTGCATAAAGTATTTGCCTAGCTATTACTCTCTTTCTGAATGAAAAGATGTGACTAAAACTGGTCCAAAACCTTGCTTTCATAGTTTATCAAGAGAGAAGGCCAGGAGTTCTAAGGACACCAACTGGAGAGCAAGGAGGGAGTCGCACGGTGAGCGCAGGCATGAAGGCTGGGTCAGCGCGCGCCCTGCTCCTCACTGCCCGGCGGAGGAGATTCAGGCCGTCTCCGCTAGGCAGAAGGTGCACTGGTAACAGTGAGGTGAGAGCCTGGATTCTCCTGCACCTGCATCCGGAGCCATCAGCCCTGCTGACGAGTTAGGAGACGGCAATCCTACCTTTACTTTCTGCGGATCTAGGCCATTGAGCAGCTCCGAGAAGGACTGGGCCGCACTGCGGCACCGCTGCTCCAGCAGAGCTGTGTAACCATCCTGGATCAAGCTCCTCAACATTTTCATTATATTAGCAAAGTCCTGCAAAACAGAACAAGAAACAAACTGTTTCCTTTGGGAAGCAACAATTCTACAGTGTCAATCGCTACTTCAATCTCTGGCTAACATAACTGAAAAGTCAGTTTCTAAATTAACAATAGTTTGGCTTCTTAGCAATCACATATAAAGTAACATGTCCATAAATAAAAGTATAAAAAACAAATCTTAGAGATGTACATGGTTAGACTTAGCGCTTGTGAAGAGTGGTTTGTTCCCAGAGTTTGCTTTCCCCGGGAAGAGCCTTTCCTGTACCTGGTGTGCTGCTCTGGAAGATTTAGAGAACTGTTTCTCCAAGAGGCTTTTCAAATCTGCTGGAAAACTCCCTTGTGAGCCGTAACTACAAGAAAAGAGTGTTGTGTTGAATTATTTAAAGTAAAACAGTCCGCTATATAAAGAAAAAATACTTTTACTGAAGGTCATTTTAAACACTGAGCAAATAAGTCATAAGCTCGTGAACTGAAATATTACTATGATGCCATTTCTCCTCAGATTAACCTCTAACTCTAATGAATCTCAATAAAAATCCCTGTAAAATTACAAGTGGGGGGAGGCCAGATAAATTAATTATGAAGATGATATAGAAAAAACAGCTTTTGAAACAAATTAAGGGGAATTTGTGTGCTGATTACCCAGTTATTACAGATCTACAGTTACCTATGACAACGTAGTCCTGAAACAAGAAATGTGCCCAATAAATGTTGCACAGACGCTCCTCTCATGGGAAAATCTAGTAAGAGATTTTCTGAAATATTACTATGATGCCATATAACCTTTCAGAAAGCCCGGACCCCGTGCTGGTGAGGGGAAGACTCAGTTCTCTGTCTTCCGACACCACTTCTAACACTAGATGTGTGTGTTTGATACCAGATACCTATCATTTTCCACACCAATTCTCCAACACCAACCACGTGTCTAACAATTCCATTCAATTTTGACATTAATTCTGGGGTCAATGCAGGCCCCACAGGTGCCCTCACTTCAGACCAGCCACACCGGGGTGCCTAGGCTACCCACAATTCTGCCAAGCCAACTACAAATTCAGGGTTCCCGTGACCCTAGTTCAGATTCAACAATTCCCTAGAATGACTCATAGAACTCATGAAAGCATTATACTTACTACTTACCAGTTTACTATGAAGGTTGTAACTCGGGAAAACTCCAATGAAAGAAACACATGGGAAGGGAGCTGGGTAGAGGGGGGTGATGGATAGCTTTCATGCTGTCCCAGAGTGGGCCACCTGCCCAGCACCTCCATGTACTCACCCACCCAAAAGCTCCCCAAAAAGAGGTTTTCATAATGTTTCATTACACAGGCACAAAGGATTAAGTTGCTGGCCACTGGTGAATAAATAAATTCCTAGCTCCCTTCCTGAATTTCTCAGATACCAGGGGATGGGGCTGAAAGGTCCAACCCTCCAATCACATACTTGGTCTTTGTAGTGACCAGTCCCAATTCTGAATGCAGAGCCCCAGCCTTGAGTCACCTCATTAATATGATCTCAGGTAGGGTGGAAAGGGGCTTGTTTCAGGAAATTCCAAGGGAGCTCTGTGCCAGGGACCAGGGACAAAGATCAGATATACATTTTATTATTCCTCACCCTCTCACAGCTTAGTAAGAGTGTAAAAGTGCCAGGTAATTACTTTTCTGGTAGGACAATTTGACAATATCTCTCAAAGTGAAATTACACACCCCTGGGCCCTGGCCGGGTAGCTCAGTTGGTTTGATTGTGGGTTTGAACCCTGGTCAGGGCACATACAACAATCAACCAATGAATGCATAAATAAGTGGAACAACATATCAATATTTATCTCTCTCTCTCTCTAAAAATCAGTAAATAAAATTTAAAGAAAATTATGCATCTCCTTTGATAGAGCAATGCCACTCTAGAAATTTCTCCAAATGTACATCTATGTGGTAAAATGTTCTGCAGCCATGAAAATGAAGGATGTAGATTTCCATGGTCTGTTATGGAAAGACACACAAGATACTAGAAAGGGATAAAACAAGCTGTCAGTCTGAATGGTTCTAACAACAGTGAAAAGGACAGTGATCCCAATGATGGTCATGTGTACTGAGCATTTACCATGTTCCAGTTCATCCCACTTAATCACTAAATAATCCCATGAGGTAGACATAATCAAATCAGAAGCCTTCTGTTTGAAAACAGAAACAAAGTTTCAGGAAACTAAATTTATCTTCAACAAAACTGGTTAAAATTGTAACTATACATTCAAACAGTGAAAATATGCTTGGTTTTGGTTTCTCCTGGGAGGCACACGAGGTGAGGAGGAAGACTCAGGATTTTTCTATGAAATAATAGAATTACATAATATTCTATGCTCTTGCTTTGTATTTACTTTGTAGCAGCAGGAAAAAAAATGGTCTTTTTTTTTAAAAAAATTGGGCATTACTCATTCCTCTTAGTGCTTTGATATTCAAATCATTCTCCTTGAAGAATCTATTGAGGAATCAGCCTTAAGAAAAGAGGAAAAAACTGACAACCGGGTATAATTGGCAGAAATGGCTTTGCAGTTTCTCCAGCATCACTTTTTATTAACTTCACAAACTTCTGTATCTACTGTATGACTGATAATTCCACTCTGCACTCAATTCCTATTTTGTAGGTGATGGGGGATTAACGATAAAGATAAGTGACAAGAGTTCCGACCATTAGTTTTAAGGGGCATGTTCCGTAGAACGGATTTTATAAGTGGTTGGTTCATTAATAAATCCTTTCCTCTGGTAGTAACTGCTCAAAAGGGCCTCGACCTGTACACATCCCCATGCCTGTGTATGCAGAGTGAGCTTCCTGACGGCCAACATTGTGAGCAGCGCGTTCCTATCGGAAGCTACTGGAGAAGAAGTGTGGGAAGTGAAATAAGGTGAGCAGGGAAGGAGACTAATTTGCACTTTATACTTCTCTGAATATTTTCCCTCTTCTGAGCATGTATTTTGGAGTTTTAAAATGTTAATACTAATATAGCTGTAATATGACTTTCAGAAATCAGTATTAATGTTCAGGATTCAGAATTCTCTGGTCAAAAATGATCGTCTCTGAAGACATGCCTTTGGTATTTGAAAGGGACTTTCGTACTCAACATAGTATACATATGTAAAGGTAGCTACTACTTGAAAGAGATTTTTTTCTTTTTTCTTGGAAGGAGGACATTAGGTGAAAAACAAAACCTTACATAAAAACATACCTGAACTCCAACTCATTGTTTCGAGATTTTTGTTTTCCTTTATATTTTGGAGGTTGGCCTGTGAATACAAAAGTATTTGTTCCTCAAATCTGGACATAAAAATTTATGAGCTTGAAAGTAAAATAATAGTTAAGTAAACTGAATAAGAAAGCAAAGGAAGCAATACCGTGAGCGTTAACTACAAACAGGTAAGCCAAAATAGAAGCTACTGATGATGTTTGTCTGTGTGTGCTATGAAATTATTATAAATTATAATGGTCATTATTATATAGGCCTAGAGCAGATACAGAAATATAGGCTAAATTTCTGTTTTCAAGTAGTTGACAATTAGATGACAAGAAAAGACAGTCACTGTAATAATTAAACAGCAATCCCATTAAAAAGAAGAAAAAAATACTGAGTTACAGGCCCCGTGCTTCCTCTTGCTCCTCCAGCTCTATGAGCTCCGCCTTGTCCCGCCCCCTGGCAGGAGGGAGCCTGTGTGCTGCGGGCGGGGACAGACGTGCAAAGTTGTGCAGAAGACAGCTGAGCAATGGGGTCAGGTGGGCCTGATGAGAGCTTTGGGGACAGACGCAGAGGCAAGTCAGAGCCCCTGGGCCGAGGACGGGATGAGAGCCTGAGCTGGCTCTGGTGGCCTCAGAAAGCAAGAGGCTCTGGAAAGGCAGAAGAGTTCCAGTGTGACTTCTGCTGTGTGACCTGTAGCAAAACCACTGCACCCTGACCACAGCACCTCAATTTCTTCTACTGAACGTAGATGCTAAAGTGTGGATGGTATTTAAATTATTTAAATGTACTGTATGATGATAATTGCCCAAGAAATATTGACAAATGTTTTATCCTCAGAGGTTTTTCACGTGCTATTAGAGCTACATCAGGGACGACAGCCACCTGAGCTTCCACTCCTTCTAATGCTGCTGCTGTGCCAACCAAATGGAAATGCTCAGGAGTGAGTGGTGGATGTGAGGCATGGGAGCCCAAGAGAGACAGAACTGCAGAAGACAAACACTGAAAAGAAAACAAACACATCAACCAAGGACAGGAGGGCAACAGGAAGGTCACAATCTCCCTGTAAGAGCCCGGAAGGAACGCATGAAAGATGGAGATCAGTAACTTGTGGTTAACAACAACTATCTTAAGTAAGTCATCAAGAAAATCTGTATTTTCTTAAGCTGTTTAAAAGGCAGGGAAGCATGTAATCCACTTTAGATCGATTTCCATCAAAATCTGGTAGTATCAAGGGAGACTGAGAAGTAAATGAAGTGCGAATATTCTGTGGGCCCTTCATTTCCCATGGTGCCAATGCTGAGTCTATGAGGTCCTGCTGTGTCTGCCTGTTTCCTAGGGGCATAAGCAAACACAGGCACCAAGCACAGACAATTTAAAGTAAACTAGGTTGAGCCCTGCTGGGTTGGCTCAGTGGTGGAGTGTCGACCTATGAACGAGGAGATCATGGTCAGGGCACATGCCCAGGTTTTGGGCTCGATCCCCCTACATGGGGCATTAGGGAGGCAGCTGATCAACGGTTCTCTCTCATCATTGATGTTTTTATCTCTCTTTCTCTATCCCTTCCTCTCTGAAATCAATAAAAATATATATCTTTAAAAAAACAACTCGCCAAATAAAAATTAGATAGAAACCAAGAAGAGCTTCATCTTTCTGTTCCATTAACTTTAGTTTGAGTTCCAAAATTAGATTTATTAAATAACATGAAAAGACGGAGTACTGGTTTCAAATAAATAATGTTTTAACACAGAAGCACTGCAAAGTAAAAGGAGTACAAGAGCAAATATAAGTGAGGCTTGTGCGAATTTGGGGGCATGGGAGTTTAGACACCACCACATGAACTCAGCAATAATTTACAGGGAAAAACTCACCTGATAGTGGTAGAAATTCAGGATGACAGGCACAATCATCTATATTCAAAGCTTCATCTACCACCTACCCATGAAAATATAATTAGTGAGACTTACACAAGGAAAAGAAGTGAAAAAATAGAGAGACATGAAGAGCTAAATAATAAAGTGGATTATAACAGAATTTATTCAAACACTAAAATAGCTAGGTGGTTATTAAGCCTAAGTGAATAAACAAACAAAATGATAACTGACAATAAACGGATTATGGTATGACAAATTCTCCAATGACAATTCTATTTCTGACACCTAGCATGAGGCCAGGCAGGGCAGCTGTTCAGTCCTGAGTCAGTACTATCACATCTTTCCTGAGGCTGCTCTCCCTAAATGAACACAGCTTCTCTGAGATTTTCATTATTAACAAAAGAATTATGCTCTGGTCTGGTGTCCTCAGTGGTTAGAGCATCTGCCTGAGAACTGAAGAATCATGGGTTTGATTCCCAGTCCAGGGCATGTACTTGGGTTGCAGGTTTGATCTCTGGCCCCAATTGGGGCTTGTACAGGAGGCAACCAATCAATGTGTCTTTCTCACATTGATGTTTCTCTCTCTCTTTCCCCTCCCTTCCTTCCTCTCTTTCACTCTCTCTAAAATTAATGAAAATAATATCCTCGGATATTATTAACAAACAAATATAACTATAGAGTGGCTTAAAAAGTTCCCCCCAATGACTACTATCCATAACCCAAGACACCATTTTCATTTTCCCCATCAGACACTGGAAAGAAATATAAATGTGAGCTTGGTGATATCTGCTGAGTTTTGAGCACACTACAGTTCAGAGAAAAACTCAGGTGCAGACTGCCTCAGACCCTGGCCCCAGGACCAGGCTAGAGTCCTAGCAGTGCCTAAGAAGCCATCAGACCAAGGTTTAGCTGAGCACAGCACAGAACCAAGGGCTTTGGCTACGGAGAGGAGCAGCAGAGGCTGCAAAAACACCTTGGGCAGAGAGGAGGATGGGGTGGCTCCCAGGCCCAGCACAGCACAAATTGGGTGGGTGGATGGACTGGTGCAGTGCAGGGCAGCCATGGAGTTTGCAAAAAATAAAAGATAGGAAAAGAAAAGTCCAAAGCATTGTAAGGGGTGGTGTGATTTGGCCACCAGACCCCACTGTCACTTATTCCCAAGTGACTCACTGAAAGACATGTAAAGGGGCCCTAGTTGGTTTGGCTCAGTGGGTAGAGCATTGGCCTGCCAACTGAAGGATCCCAAGTTCGATTCCAGTCAAGGGCACATGCCCGGGTTGCGGGCTTGATCCCCAGTGGGGGGCGTGCAGAAGGCAGCCAATCAATGATTCTCTCTCATCATTGATGTTTCTCTCTCTCCCTTCCTCTCCGAAATCAATAAAAAAATATATATTAAAAAAGATTCTCTCTTGCCCTGACCGGTTTGGCTCCGTGGCTAGAGCGTCGGCCTGCGGACTCAAGGGTCCCAGGTTCGATTCCGGTCAAGGGCATGTACCTGGGTTGCAGGCACATCCCCAGTAGGGATTGTGCAGGAGACAGCTGATTGATGTGTCTATCCTTTTCCCTTCCTCTCTGTAAAAAGTCAATAAAATATATTTAAAAAAAAAAGACTCTCTTAAAAAAAAAGACATGTAGAGGGAAGGCATACAAAGAGAACCATCAAAGTGTAAAATAAAATTTAGAAAAAAATAGTTTGAAAACATACAAATGTGATTGCAAAAGAATTCTGTAACAATGAAATATTATTTTATGTAATTATAGGAGGTAGCCCGAATATTTATTTAAAAGACAGAATCATTCCTTGATATGAATAAGCAAAAAGAGGTTCATATCAACAAGATATTTAGTTTTTCCTTTCACCAAAATATTATTGCAAACATATGAGACTATACTGGAAATAATTTCATTTTTAGTTTTTAACTGAGCTTACCATTAGAGGCTGATTACCATCATATGCCATTTCGTGGTAGGTTTTGCTGGAATCTCTTTCGATCTCTACAAAGTTAAGTGAAGTACTAAATGCAGGTGCTGGTAAACTAGGTGTGTTGGCTCTGAGTGAGGATAAAAGGAATAATTATTTTATTTCTATTGATTAGTATGCTTTTTTTAAAAAAAGTTAACCTTCAAAGAAACAAGTTTCAGCAAATTCAGCCTTTTTTTCTTGAAAACAAGGCTGTTTTAAAAAGATCCCTACTGCCCTAGCTGGTTTGGCTCAATGGATAGAGTGTCAGCCTGTGGACTGAAGGGTCCCAGGTTTGATTCCAGCCAAGGGCACATGCCTGGTTTGCGGGCTCAATCCCCAGTGGGGGGGCGTGCGGGAGGCAGCTGATCAATGATTCTCTCTCATCCTTGGTGTTTCTCTCTCCCTCTCCCTTCCTCTCTAAAATCAATAAAATATATATATATAAAAAATAAAACAATCCCCATCTCTGAGTGGGCCTCATACCTAAACATTATTTTACATTTGGTATTAAAATTCAAAATATAATTTAAAAAACTTAAAATACATTAAGAACAGATCAAGAAGTGTATTCTGGTTCCTAATATTAAAATAAGTCTCCTTGTTTTAAATTAACAGCTTCAGTATCTTAAGCATGTGAGGAAAAGCTTAATCTTCTTTAATGCAGACCCTGGGTGCTGTTGGCTTTATTGCAAGGATACGCAAGTCTATCTGCTGCCTACTAGTATTTCTAACAGGAAGCATCTTAGCCTTTGAAAAACAGACCAGGAATCAGAGGCAGATGTTTCCAGAACGGAGGCCAAGGCTAAGAGGCACAGACTGTGCCCTGCTCTCTGCTGCCAGGACCATCCATCCATGATGGCCAAAACTGGTCCCTTTCAAGCACAGTAACATCCCATCATCATTTCACTCCTTTCCCATAGGCTAAAGCTACTGATCTCTAATACATACCTATGCACATAGCTTAGTAAAAGAGTGGGCAAAATACATTTGGCAATTCACAGGTCACCTGACCTTATGCAGGAACACTTTAAAAACCACCTATCATCCTTCCACCCCCAACTTCACTGTGGTTGCTATTAGCTACTAAAGCATTAAACACAGAGATTCTTAAACTCACAGGGCAAAGCCATTCCTGGTAACTTACCCGCTTTCATAAAAGGCTTTAATTGGATTCCTAGTTGGTGTTCCGCCTATCAAAATCAATCACACACACAATAATCAGTGCATTGGTAACACATACTGTAAAAGATTTTCAAATTCAGAGAACTGAAAAGTAAGCCTAACCAATTTTACATTTTGAGATGCTTTTAGTTGATGAGCTTGTCAACAAAATGTTCTTCAGCTGTTATTTGAAATCCCATTGGATGTGATCACTGAGTAGATGCAGCACTATAGAAATGTGAATCAGAGAGGGCACCTGTCTTCAAGGAGCTCACAATCTTATGATCACGTTATGTTGGATGACATTTGCTAGTGAAACAGAACACTCAGCTCAGCTCAGTAAGACACCAAATACCCATAGAAGGAAAAACGGGAAAGACCTACACAGAGTGTGCAGAGTACGGATTGTAGAATTCCTAGCCTGCACAGCAGATTTCTGAGATATATAAAATCAGCCCCAAACTTGGTGCAAAAACACCAAATAATCCTATTGAAGGGACTTTTCTTCAGGAAATAACTATAAAAATAAAGGAGATAATTTTAAAACAATTTTGTTTCAAAAAGAATTTAATTTATTTCAAAATTCAAGAAGGCATATTTTCTATGCAAGAGTATATAATAATTCATTGCTGAATGTTTCAAATAAAAATATCAATTTATAATTATCTAATGGAATATAACACTAATATAATTCTATGCAGATAGAAATGGAAACTTAAGTGACTCAACCAAGATAACAAAGTAAGTTCAAATCATCTGAGAATTGATTTATGATCCTCCATTAATCCAAGAAACCCACCTTCAAAAGTTTTAAAGGGAATTCGACTGAAAGCAAAAGAAAGAATCTTAGATGAAATACCTTGCAGATCTTCTATTTGTTGTTGTAACTTTACATGTTGCTGAATTAGATCATTGATTCCCTCAGGGTCATTTTTACAGAGTTTTTGAGCTTTACTGTTTGCTTGCAGGGCCCAGTCATATTCCCCCAGCATATAAAGAGCAGCACAGTAACGATAATGACCCTGTTCCAAAAAGATAAATTTAATTTTTCTCAAAAATATGCTTAAGTTAAAGGAAATCAATAAGGAAAAATATTTCACTTGAAATCTGATTAGTTATTTAAACTGTTAAATTAGAACCTAAAAAATAAAAATGTTAATACCTCTCAGGATATAAAATTACCAAAATGAGCTAAGTGAAAAGCGATGAACAGTATTCATAATAATGTTTAACAACTGTCTAGGGATCAGTATTTTCACTTAAAGAGATTTTTTTGTATGCCCAAAGAAAAAAATTCAACCTTTATTATATTTTACCAAAGAGTGAAATAATTTTTTATGCCAAATAAAGTATAAAAATCATTCATATAAATAACTTAAATTTGCTTCACAATACTTCAAGGCAGCAGTAGTCTCCAAGTGATTACATTCCTTACAGTTTAGAAGTCCATGGGATTTGAGAGTTGGGAGGACAGTCAGCTAGTGCAGCAGCTTTCCCACCTCTGGAAAGGAGCATGGGCACAATGAGGGGTAAAGCTAAACTAGTCCTCTATCCATCACTCTCTTACCAGCTTTTCATTCTTTTTTCCTCTAAGTGTACTTGTTGGCTTTAAGAAAGAAAAGGTCCAAAAACCACTGATTTACTCTTAATTCTAATGATTGGTTTTTTTTTGTTCTATTTTGTTTGTGCTACCACGGCCCTGGCTGGCCCCCCTCAAGCATTTGGGAAATCTGTGTCCAGCACGAACATTTTAATCTAGAGAGCTAACATGATCAGACCTGGGCTAACGCAACGCACTCTTCTCTAGCAGCTACTCACAAACCAAACTCCCATTTCAGGCACAGCATCTCCACAGGAACAGTGATTTCCAAGTGAAAAGGCTAGGAACTTGCCTAATGTCACTCCCTTACACGCAAAACAAAGAACCCTGATCTATTCTGGGGCCAGAGCTCTTCTCTGTACTGTACACTTTACAAAGACCATTCTGATTCTATGAGATTAAAAAACACCAAAAAACAGAAAAAAACTTCAGAGATACAGGCAACAGTATGGTGGTAACCAGAGGGAAAAGGAGGTGGGGGAGGAAAAAAGGATAAAGGGGGTAAATGGTGATGGAAGGAAACTTGATGGGGTGGTGAAAACACAATATACCATACAGCTGATGTATTAGAGAACTGTACACCTGAAACCTATGTAATTTATGAACCAATGCCATCCTAATAAATCCAATACAAAGAAACATACAAAAAATACTAATTGGAAAAAAAACTATCCTTTAATTAAAAAAAATGAAAACTATCATTTCATTTAAAAATGAGTAAGTGACTTTTTTAAGAAAGATGGGCTTTTCACTAAGAAAAGCCAGAAACAAGGACCTCTGCTTACCCAGGTGCTGTGCATGTATAATCCCACTCTGGTGCACCAACCCAACTGGTGAGCTCTGCAGCTATTTTTTAGCCAGAGAATTTAAGCTCAGATCAAAGAGTCAACTCAGATCGCCTTTGTTCTAACTCTGCCTTTTGTCAAAAGGCATAAAGAAGATAAGAGATCTCTTAGAGGTACGCTACAATACCAACATCCTATCTTCCAGCCATATATCAACTTTAAAGCATACATAACCGCATTTTTTTTAAAAAGCCCTGGTCAGTTTGGCTCAATGGATAGAGCGTCAGCCTGCGGGCTGAAGGATCCCAGGTTCAATTCCCATCAAGAGCACATGCCCCGGTTGTGGGCTCGATCTCCAGTAGGAGGCATGCAGGAGGCAGCCAATCATCAATGATTCTCTCATCATTGATGTTTCTCTCTCTCCCTCTCCCTTCCTCTCTGAAATCAATAAAAATCTATTTAAAAAAATCACAGCCCATCTGGCGTGGCTCAGTGGTTGAGTGCTGACCCATGAACCCGGAGGTCATAGTTCAATTCCCAGTCAGGGCACATGCCCGGGTCGCAGGCTTAGTTCCCGTTGGGGTGTGGGCAGGAGGCAGCCGATTGATGATTCTCTCTCATCATTAATGTTTCTATCTCTCTCCCTCTCCCTTCCTCTCTGAAATCAATAAAAATATATTTTAAAAGATCACAGCACAGAAAATTGTCATCATTTACAGACCATACCTACTTAAATTAGTAAAAACACTCTCTTTTCAGCCCACCTTTTTCATCCTTTACTGAGTCCTTTTCCTTAGGCTTCACAATAACCAGTATAATCTCTACCAGTTAAGAAAGCATTTATGCATCTCTTTGCTGAAGGTGTTTGAATGAAGCTTAAATTAAAGGTATTTCAGGGAGTTGCTTGAACCCAATTACAACAGAAAGTCTTGTTTTTCTTTGACACTGTCTCATTCTATCACATACAAAAAATTCCCCTTGTTCATCTGCCTAGCGTCCCCTCCTTTTGGGTACCACCATGTCCCTTATCCACTCAGACACAGTAATGGCAGTACTGCTAACTCTACCATCTCAACAAGGAGGGTAGGGTAGGAGTGTAGTTGTGACCCAGGAAATGGGCCCATCGCAATGCACCATTTCCCAGGTCAGTGATGGATCCACAGGTGGCAGGATGGCTCAGTGAGGATAAGTGTGAGGCATCCCTCAGGTATACTACTATACAGATACTAAAGATGTTCTCTTTCCACTAGAATTAACAGTTATAGAGGATATCAGTTTGGTTCTTTTTCAAGATGAAGCCAGGAGAACCCACACTCTACCACTTCTGGTCAAGATGGAGTAACAGGGATTGGATTTACCCTCCTGCCTAAAACAAACAACATACAGTATATGAAACAAAGGGTTGCATGACACTGGACATCCAGCAACAACAGAGGCTGATCCCTGACAGTGAGAAACACACAAAGTAAGCCCTATGCTTGCCCCAGCCTGCTGAGGGGACAGTGTCTAAGCCATGGCACAGGGAGAAGGAGCCAGGCAGAGACCAGAGTCTCAGTTAAGGAGGTAGAGCAGGCACTTGCTGGTTTGGCTCAGTGGATAGAGCGTTGGCCTGTGGACTGAAGGGTCCCAGGTTCCATTCCGGTCAAGGGCATGTACCTTGGTTGCGGGCACATCCCCAGTAGGGAGTGTGCAGGAGGCAGCTGATCGATCTTTCTAACTCTCTATCCTTCTCCCTTCCTCTTTGTAAAAAATCAATAAAATATATTTTCTTTAAAAAGAAGATAGAGCAGGAGTCCAGGAAAGCCATGGCAGCTCAAGGTCACAGCGCAGAGGACAGGGAGGAGAGCTGCACAGAGAACTCCAGAAGTCTTCACAGGGTCCCCCTTGAGTCTGGCTCTGTACTGATCAGTACCTGCATGTGGGGCAACTACCCAAGCGAGGGAAAGACCACCTGAAAAGCTAAAGGGGAACAGCAGTCAGTACTCACACAGGATCAAGAACACTTCTTATTCTCGTCAACCAGAGTGGAAAACGTTATAATTCATGGAGTGTCAAGTTGAGCACTCAGAAGTTTTGCCTCAGTTATGGAGAAAAATTAGTCCTAGACTAAATACCACTAAGCTCCAACCTCATCAAGTTTAAAACAAGACTCCAAAGAATTAAACTATTTCCAAGTAACTACAGCATCCCAAAGCAAAGCTCAAAATATTTACAGAAATACAAAAATATTACATAAAAGCACAATGTCTGGCATCCAATCGAAAATTACTAGGGCCCTACCCAGTTTGGCTCAGTAGATAGAGTGTAGGCCTGCTGACCAAAGGGTCCCGGGTTCGATTCCAGTCAAGGGCATATACCTCCGTTGCAGGCTCCTCCTTGGCTCGGGCCCTGGTCGGTGCGCATGCAGGAGGCAACCAATCGATGTATTTCTCTCACATCGATGTTTCTCTCTATCTTTCTCTCTCCCACTCTCTCTAAAAATCAATGGAAAAATATCCTTGGGTGAGAGTTAACAAAAATAATAAAAAGAAAAAGAAACATACAGTATATAGAAAAATAATTACTAGGTATGCAAAAGAGGAAAATGTGAACTATAATGAGGAGAAAAATAAGTCAACTTAAACAAATCCAGAAATGACACAGATGGCAGAATTAGTAGATAAGGACATTAAAACAGTATCTGAAATTTATTCCACACATTCAGGAAGCTAAAAAAAGTTTGAGCGTTTGAAGACATACAATACGTAAGAAATACTCAAATTGAAATTCTAGACATGAAAACTATAGCATTTAAGATGAAAAATATGTTGATGGCCCTGACCGGTTTGGCTCAGTGGATAAAGTGTTGGCCTGTGAACTCAAGGGTCCCAGGTTCAATTCTGGTCAAGGGCATGTACCTTGGTTGCAGGCACATCCCCAGTGGGGAGTGTGCAGGAGCCAGCTGATCGATGTTTCTCTCTCATTGATGTTTCTAATTCTCTATCCCTCTCCCTTCCTCTCTGTAAAAAACCAATAAAATATATTTTAAAAAAAAAGAAAACTATGTTGATGGAAGTAAAGGTAGATTAGACATTGCAGAAGAAAAGATCACTGACCTTGAGGACAGCAATGGAACCTTGGTAAAATGAAACAGAGAAAGGACTGAAAATGAAGCAAAGAAACAAGGAAGCACAGCTAAAAACACAAGAAAATTGTGTACAGATTGGATCCAACCATGCCAGAAGCTAACCCCTAGAATTTTCAGTTTCAGGAACCATTTAATTCCCTTTTCTTCTTAAGCCAAATCTGAGTTAGGTTTTGTCATTCACAAACAGGAGAGTCCAAATAAACCCCTAAAAATTAAAAGGTTCTTGAGGACATTATGAAACTATTGGTCTGTACCCTATATAACAACATCAAAAGGTAATGCACACAGAGAATTTCTAGAGCCGTGAAAAGACACCCTATGAAGCACAATGTCATTATAAATTTGTCCAAACCCATAAAATGTACAACACCTAGGCAGTGAACTCCAAGTTAAACTGGACTTTGGGTGATAATGATATGTCCATGGAGGTTCATTAATTCCACAACTGCACCACTCTACTGGGGGATGCTGACAATGGGGGAGGGCATGTGTGTGTGGGGTAATGGGATTATGGGAAATCTCTGTACCTTCCTCCTCTTAATTTTGCTGTGAACCTATAACTGTTCTAAAAAAAAAAAAAAGTCTTAAAGAGTAAATATTTTCTTTGATAAACTAAATCAGGAATTAACATTCTAAATAAGGTACTCAAAGTAATTTTAAAAGTTTTAGTACTCTTTTTCTAAGTTGATACTAGATTAAAATAACAAAAGATATCTCTGGAAAACCAGTATCATGGTCTACGTTTTACTATTAAGAATTCTACCATCTATTCATTCTGAAAATATTTATGGAGCAGCTGCCAAATGCCAGGTGCAGAAGTCAGCAAAGGATTTTTAAGCACAACAATGACTTATATTGAAAACAGCAACAATCACCACCCTCAATCCAGTTTTGTCTTTTACTTGTAATGGCACCTTGCAAAGTCACTGTACTTTTCTGAAACTTAATTTCTTCATCTGTAAAATAATGTACTTAGAAAGTGACTCCAAAAGTTGAATGCAGAAGTACACCTGAGAAATCTTATAATCCCCAGATTTTACACTCCTAGACCACCTGAATCACCTGAAGGCTCTAAAATTCTACAACTCCACTCACTCTGGCTTAAAAATAAATTATGGCCCTGGTTGGTGTGGCTCAGTTGGTTCGAGTTGTCATTCCATTCACCAAAGGGTGGAGGGCTCAATTTCTGGTCATGGCACATACCCAGGTTGCAGGTTCAATGCCTGCTCAGGGCATGCATGGGAGCCAACTGGTCAATGTTTCTCTCTCTCTTCCTCTCTCCCTTTCCATTCTTTTCTCTCTAAAAATCAATGAAAACATATTTTTAAAATCAGTAAAATCAATAAAAGCATATTCTTGGGTGAGGATTAAAAAATAATCATTAAAAAATAATAAATAAAAGCAAATTATGGAAAGCCAGAAATGAAGTCTGAAACATGTATCTTTTTGAGTCTTAATGAAGCTCTGCTTTAAAAAAATTCAGACTATTTTTATAATTTAGGAGAATATAAATGACTATAACAAACACCAGAATGAACTGTTAACATTTTGTTATATTTGCTTCAGATTCTTTAATGCAAGAAATAAAACTATAGAAATATGGCTGAAGTCTCCTTTGTACCGTTAATCTTTCCTGTCTCTCACTGCCCAGAAGCAAACACTATCAAGAGTTTGATAGGTATTTTTCTAATATGCTTTTACTGCTTTGTTCATTCAACATTGTTTTTTTTAAAATATATTTCTTTATTGATTTCAGAGAGGAAGGGAGGAGAAAGATAGAAACATCAATGATGAGAGAGAATCATTGATCGGCTGCCTCCTGCACACCCCCTACTAGGGATCGAGCCCACAACCCGGGCATGTGCCCTTGGCCGGAATCGAACCCAGATCCCTCAGTCCGCAGGCTGATGCTCTATCCACTGAGTCAAGCTGGCTAGGGCGATTCAACATTGTTTTTTAAAATCTATTGATAAGCCAGTTAATTAATTTCAACTGCAATCTAGTGTTCAATTCATTCATTCACTAAGTCATCAAGTATTTACTTAAATAGTGCCTGTATGTGTCAGGCAGTCCGGATTCAAGAATGAACCAAAGAAAAATCTGTCCTCATGGAGCTCACATTGTACTGGAGACTCACCATAAACAACATACTGTAAATAGTATATACAATATGTTTACTAGTGATAAATGCCAAGAAGAAACAAAGTCAAGCAGTGAAAGAGGAGAGCCAACCTGTCTAGGAAGGGCAGGTTTGGCATGTAGCACTGTGGCCAGGGAAGGTTTCACTGAGAAGAGGACCCGCAGTGGAAACAAAAGGAAGCGAGGGGCCAGGGAGCCAGAGAGCCAGCGCATACTCTGGGGAAAGGCATTCTCATTCCAGGCACAGGGAAGAGCAAGTGCAAGCGGGGAGTGGGCCTGGCATGTTTAAGGAACTACAAGGAGAGCAACGGACAACAGAGTGAACGAGGGAGTGAAAAATGGGGAGAGCAGAAGGTCTGAGGTCAGAGGAATAATGGGTGTTCAACAGGGGACAGATCTGATAGATCATAGTAACTGAGTGAAAAACTACATTCATCACCGCTTCATTAACGGATATTTAGATATTTGCACTTCTGTACCATTAAATCATGTGCAATGACCAACCTTGTACATCTCACTATACACACATGAGCAAGAATGTTTGTTTGGTTCAGAAGCTTAGAATCAAGTAATGACTGCATACGCACATCATAGTGCTCTCCAATGTGCTTGTAACCAATTCAACCCACTGGTTTATCGAGGGTTCCTGTTGGTACAGACACTTACCAGTACACAAGGCGATTGTCTCATTAATGTTTGCCAACCTGAAGGACCCACAGTATCATATGGTTTTATTTATTCATGTACATGGAGGTCTGTTTGGAGGCTCTCTATTCTGCTCTCTTGGTTTCATTTTTCTGTCTCTGTACTATTTTAATTACTGGGAAAAACAGGGCTAAGTGTTTTTCTATTTCCCATTCACAATTCTTCTTCTGTGAAATGCTTGTTTACTGGCCCATTTCTACTGAATTTTTTATTTACCTCTTTGCATATTCTAGCTATAAATCCTATCAATTATATAAGTTGTATATATTACAAATGTTTTCCTTCCAGACTATGATTT